TGGCTTGTGCATGTGTGCGGCCTCGCTAGCCCGCGCATGCTTGCGCGCGCAGCAACCACCTGGTGCGGCGCGACCGACGCGGCCGCGATGGCGCTGACCGCTGGGCAGTCCCAGTGGGCACTTCAGTGCGAGTCGGTGAAGTGGGCGGGCGTGGTATCATGGCGACGCCGACAACGGTAAACACGATTATGAGAATAACGATGATGGTGACGATGGTGGCGATGACGACGGTATGGCCAATGACGGCGCCGATGTTGACCACGCCCGCCGATGACGATGACGATGCATTCGCGTCAGCGACGGAGGTTTTTTGAAGGTGTTCGACATGCGCTCGCGGCCGACGCGCGCGAGTGGCCCGCGCTGCATTAATTGACACGGATCGTGCCACCCATCGCGCGCGCAAGGGCGTTCGGATGAGTTCGCAATGCAGCGCGAAAGGCCCGCTTGGCAGAATTTGATGGCAACGTTGAAGAATCGATGTAACAAAAGCGTATGCGAGGTGGCGACGGGGCTGCAGCGGCAACGACGGGGCGGCGACGGCGAGCATGGAACCGCCAAACCGACAACCCTGCCCAGAGGGCGGGAGGCGGCAAGGCTGCGACGGGGCGGCGACGGCGGCTACAGAACCACCACAGCGACAAACATGCTTAGACGACGGGCGGCGACGGGGCGGCGACGGCGGGTACATAGCCCCCGAACGTACAGACAGGTTCAATTCCTTAAAACAGAAGGAAGAACCATTCAATGCAAGCGTTGTAAAGAGAATGAGCAAGAACCCAGGATCGTCTATTGAAGTTTGTCCCTGATTTCGGCATGGACTTCGTTTCGTGCATCTCGGGGAACGAGACTCAAAATATCCACGTGGAAGGATTCACGACGTTTGCCGAACGCTGTTTTGATGTGTTCCACTTGCGCAAACCCGCGTATTTGTTTACAGTGGCCCGACTGCCAAACAAAATCCATGCATCCCGCTGGGATTTCCGACGCTCCACCGCGCCGCCCCGCCCCCAGCTTGGCGGGCCCCTGCGGCCGATGGTTCCTCCGTGCTCGGCCTTCTGGTTGCCTACTTTGCTGCCTCACGCTGCCCACGAGATGCCTGGCCCCGTCCCCCCGGGTCGCGTGCCGCGGCGCCCGGCTCGACTGCGCCACACTGGTGGCCTCGGCTTGAGGCTGCCAGCAATGTTCCGCGTCAGCATCCTTCCCCCTGGTCGATCTCCCCCTCTTCCCCCCGTTCCCGCGTCCCCCTCGCGACTGCCCCCTCGCTGGTGCTACCGTTCGATCCCCCACGGGCGGATCTGGTTCCTCCATGCTGCGTGAGCTGGCCCAGACCGCGCGCCGCTCTCGTTTGACTTGCCTTGCGCCGCGCCGCCGCGCGCGTTGCCGCGATGCCAAGCAGTGTGTGTGTGTGTATGTGTGTGTGTGTGTTGTGCGTAGTACGTTGACCGTCGATTCCACCCCATCTGCGCGCTGGGGAAGGAGTGTGTGTGTGTGTGTGTGTGTGTGTGTGTGTGTGTGTCTGTGTGCGCGCGCGCGCGTGTGTGTGTGTGTGTGTGTGTGTGTGTGTGTGTGTGTGTATGTGTGCGTGTGTGTGTGTGTGTACGTGTGCGTGTGCGTGTGCATGTGCGCGTGCGCGTGCGTGTGTGTATTACGTGTGTGTGTGTGTGTGTTGTAGCCGTTGGAACAAGGTCATCTCCTGGGGGTGTTCTCCCCCCTGGGGCTAGGGCTCAAGGGCCAGCGCCTCCAGTATAGCTCCCTTAGGTGGCTGCCCAGCCAGGAGCTACCTTTTCACCTTCCACCGATCCAGCGATCGCGGCATGGAAGACGACGAGGAGGACGCTGGCGCTGTAGATGAGCGCGGCAGGGAGTGCCCAGTCCCTCGAGCTGAAGATGGTTTAGGGGATGATGTGCCCGCTGCGTTATATGATGCTCGCTCGCTACCGACGGATGAGCGTCCCGACGGCGAAGCTGGAGAGGAGGCGGACTCCCTACTGGAGGAGCATTCCCCTACCGGCCTGATGCACGAAGTACGGCAACATATGTTTGAATGGTGCTTCTGTGAGACACAAGGCACCAGGTTTGATCACAGGGCGAATCATGCGTATCCGTATCCTAAGGCCGTGCACCAGGACACCAAAGGGCGAAATGGGTGGTGCGTTCGACACCGACGTCAGCGATGCGCATAATGCCGCCATCTCCACCCACAACGACTACAGGGATACTCCACCAATCACGTAGGATGGGCCTGCATGGATGTTTCGGACGGAGGTGAAATGACTCTTGCATAGGAATGTGGGGTCTGTCACAGATTCGCTGCGCAGGGACAGTTTCCGTGTCAGGAGCGATGTTGTGGACGGAGGTGCGGTGCGGCGCACCATCTTTATTATTGGCGGAACCATGGGCCTATGCGTCCCATCCTGCGGCAGGAGCGCGACGATGTTCCGCAAACTGAGGGTACCCTACCACTCATGCCTGATGGCACAGACCTTCAAGGAATCCGGGAGTACATCCAAGAGTATACGGATACTAAGCGTACGCTGCAGTTGTATGTGGGTGCTATTGCAGTGTGAGTCCTTGCTATGCGGGCGCTGCGTATGCAGCACCCGATGCAGCACAATTGTTTTTCGATGGGCATCCCACGGAGGCCTATTGCCACGTGCAGGAAGAGGTTGAAAGAGATGTGTTGGATGCTATAAACTATCGGCCGCAGCTTTATATCCGGCCGTCCCTTCCAATCTGGCCACATTATCAGGATGTGGTGTGCGCCTTCCCCAAAGGCCGCACCGCTTCGAGCCTGAATCGACAGGCCTTCGAATCACCAAGGGACGACCAAGGACCAACGTCGAGCGCAACTCACCTGGATTTGGGCAGGCTAGAGGTACCAACGACGGGTGCTTCGGCTTGCCCGAGGAATCGACCCCACCGATGAGCTGCAGGATGGCAGCCCACGACAGGGCATCGCGAATGTTGGCAGCTGCGCCAGCCGCGGGTGCTGGATGCACAATTGCGTGCCGGGCCCAGTGCCGATCGTGGAGCTCTGCTACTTCCGCGCGCGACTGGCGGGGGAAGCCACTTGCTGGCAACTGCTGCTGCTGCTGTTCATGTGCCTCCACCCGGAACCTGGATCCTGGTGGCGTGAGTAGTCGTCGACTGCCGCCCCCCCGTGGGCCCGTTGGCCCCGGCGGGGTGATCAAAGTAGACAACCAGGTGACCGTTGCCACTGGCAGCAAGCAACGTGATGGAAACATAGATATGCACAGCGTCGGGGAGAGGCAGACAGGGAGGCGGAAGGAAAGGGAATACGAACAACGTCGAAGACGTAGATGGAGGGGTGATCATAGAGCTCGCGGCGGCAGCAACGCGGAAAAGGTGGGATGCCCGTGGGCCTTGTTTGCGCCCCCCCTCCTACGGGTCTATTGGCCCAGCTGGGCCAGCGCCCTGGAGGGTGCCTTGGATTCCCCTCTTCTGTGGTGCCCACCGTTGTCATCCCTGCGGTGTGGGCGGCGGGGGCAGGCGAAATGACGCATAAGAGGGCGAGGGAGGTATACGAGCTGGGTGGAAAGGTTGAGTCTTGGAACAGGCGCAGCGGCGTGAGGCAAGGTTGGCACAGGCGCAGCGGGGATAGTGGGCGGTGGCGTGCCCTGCCCACGCACGCCGCGTAGAAGGCGCAAGCCCCTCTCCATCTGCTCACAGGAATCCCCCAAGGGCGTCCCCGAGGCCAACGACGGGATCCCTCGCCTGAAAGCAGGCGTAGGGTTCCCAGAGCATTCGCGTCGGGCCTTCGGGGTTCCCACCGAGCGTGATGGAGGTTTGCGCCTTCACGGCGGTGGTAGGGTGCCAGACTTGCTTGGAGATGTGGCCAGCCACTCTCGCCAGAGTGGAAGGCGTCAGGGCCTCCCCCCCTGCACGTAGGAAATCCCCCGAAACGCCCCCCATCCCCGCGACTGGTACCCTCCCCTGCCAGCAGGAGCAGGGCACCCAGTTCGCGGAGCTGGGTGCCGCTCGGGGGATTTCCCACCGTGCGCGGGGGAGGTCTATGTCTCTCCGTGGCCGCGGCGCGGCTCTGCTGGTGCGTGCCCGCCCCCAGCCCATGATACCCTCTTGCTTCCGTCCATAGTGCAGCGGTGGCGGATCCAGGCAAGCGGGGGGGGGGGGAGGAGGAGGAGGAGGAGGGAGGAGGAGGGAGGAGGAGGAGGAGGAGGAGGAGGAGTAGGAGGAGGAGGAGGAGGAGGAGGAGGAGGAGGAGGAGGAGGAGGAGGAAGGAGGAGGAGAGGAGGAGGAGGAGGAGGAGGAGGAGGAGGAGGAGGAGGAGGAGGAGGAGGAGGAGGAGGAGGAGGAGGAGGAGGAGGATCGAGGAGGAGGAGGAGGATGATCGAGGAGGAGGAGGAGGAGGATGATCGAGGAGGAGGAGGAGGAGGAGGAGGAGGAGGAGGAGGAGGAGGAGGAGGAGCAGGAGGAGGGCACGCTGTGTGCCACTAGAGTCCACCTGAGCGACGTCCAGGCGGCCCACTGGTGCAGCTACCGGCCGCCCTGGCCCTTGCCATGGCGGCCCGTGGTGTTCCCCCATCACTGCCTCCTCTTCTCCTCCCTCGCCTCCCCAGAGATCCGATGCTCTGATGTTTTTCCCGCGGGGCCCCCAGAAGTCTCGACCCACTCCTGGGGACCGGCTGCTCATCCTGAGCCGTTCTCTGGCAGTCCCCGGTCTTTGCGAGGGCCGCTATGAGGCCGAGCACAGGGAGAAACCTCCGTCCCGGCTTTTTCCATACAGTGCCGTTTTTCATACATGCTCCGCGTGCGGATCATGGATTAAAATACAGGGATTTAGTATGATAAACAACGAGGAGCTCATGCATACATTGATTCATTCATTAAACATGTATATAAAAAACAACGTTTTTTTTTTTTTTTTTTTTTTAAAAAAAAATAATAAAAAAAACAACTCCTATGTATTAAAAACTGCCCTGTACCCTGGGCTCTTCCGGGCCCTCGCCGCCTCCTCGCAGGCGCAGTACGTGCAGCAGCCGGTGCCGCAGGTGCGCTACGTGCAGCAGCCGGCGCACCACTTCAAGGGGGGGCAGGCGCCGCAGCCGCGGGGAGGCGCCTATGCAGGCGGTGCCCCGCAGCAGGCTCGGCTCGGGGGCCCTTGGCCGCACACCGCCCCCGACCCTACAGTCAAAAACCCGAATAAGGACGCGCGACTTTTCTCAGGGTACCCTTGCGTCCTTGCTCTTCCTTGCTCTTGCGTCTCCGTCCTTCCTTGGTTTCGTCTTGGGGTTTTCGTCGTCCGCCGCTCCATAAATCCCAACTTCGGCTTCCGAGGGTCTTGCGTCCTTACCGCGCCTCCTTATTTGGGTTTTTGACTGCACCCGGGCCCATCTTCTCGCCGGCGGAAGAAGGACGTACACGTACATGAATCCACGGTTTCGAGAGTACGCGTTGCGCGAATGTTCGTATCACGCGGCGGGTCTCGCGAATCGAGGGGCCGTGCTCGTGTGCATGGTTGGGCGCGCACGTCCTTTGTGGCCTCCCTGTCTTCGGCGGCGAGGCATGAGGGGGGGGGGAAGTGAGACGGCGAAGGCCTTCTCAGAAGGCAGCGGGGCTTCTCGGAAGCCCTCGCGCCTTCCGGGAAGCTCTCGGTGTCTTCGGGGAGGGCTCGGGAATTGGTGGTCTCCAAACCAGGTGGTGAGACACCCGGTGGTGACCCCGATTCCCCCAAAACATAATTCTGGGTCACCGGGTTTGGGGACACGCGGTCGCCACGAGGTTTTGCGTTTCCTGGGCCAGCCAGCGCTCGAAAACCACTACCCAAGTCGCCCCAAACTCACCACCGGGTGTGCTCACCACCACGTCTGGGGACCACCCTCGGAGGAGGAGGAGGAGGAGGAGGAGGAGGAGGAGGAGGAGGAGGTCGGCGGGCTGCCGAGCCCTCTGAGAGGGCCCGCCCCGCCTCGCTTCCCCCCCCTGGGGCTCGCCGCCGTCGGCTGGGGGGCCCAGGATTGGTTGCAACGTGTGGGCCTGGCCAGGGCGGCGCCTCTCGGGAGGGGAAAAAACACACAGAGACACAGCGAATCGGCGATTCCCAAGAAAAAATATAGGAAACTACGGGAAGTGGGGGGGAAGACAAGAACCCAGAAACTATGGGAACATCTGGGCAATCTTTTTATTTGTATGTGTATATATATATGTATCTATATATATATATATATATATATATATCTGTGTGTGTGTGTGTGTCAGGGCCCCTTCAATACAGTCGAAACCGATGATCAAGACGGGCCACCTTCCCAAGAGGCTAATCACGGGCATCCTTGCCGCTCTGGTCCGTCCTGGACCCCTTTCGATGGCCAGCCCCCGCCCAGAAGGCCTCGGCATGGTCGTCCAAAAGGGCTCGCATCCTTGCCCGCGCACCCTTGCCATCAGCTCTGACCGCACCTCGAGGAACAAGACATGGCATGAACGTATGTCAGGAGGAAAAGAAACACACAGACACAATTCATCCTCGACTCCCAAGAAAGTAGGGGAACATATGGGCAGTGGGGGGGGGAAGACAGGAACCCAGAACAAATATGGGAAAACATGGGGAATCTTTCTATCTTTGTGTGCATTTGTTTGCGTGTCCTGGGGCCCCTTCAGTATGTCTCCTCCTCCTCCTCCTCCTCCTACCCTCTTCCTCCTCCTCCCCCTCCTCCTCCTCCTCCTCCTCCTCTCCTCTCCCTCTCCTCCTCCTCTCCTCCTCCTCCTCCTCCTCCTCCTCCTCCTCCTCCTCCTCCTCCTCCTCCTCCCCCTCCTCCTCCTCCTCCTCCTCCTCCTCCTCCTCCTTCCCCTCCTCCTCCTCCTCCTCCTGGCATGAACGTATATGCTTCTCGGAGCTGCGACTGGGGATCCCTCTATCGGAGCGGCGTGGGGCCCCCCTTCTCGGCGGGCGGCGAGGCGCGCCTCCGGCTCTGCCCCCCCTCGCAGGGCCCCCGTGTCGCAGCCGCCCGGGGAGGGGGGGGGGCTCCCCGCGCGCCGACCTTCTCGGACCTCCGCGCGCGGCCCGGACGGAGCATCGTGAGGGTTCCTCCTCCTCCTCCTCCTCCTCCTCCTCCTCCTCCTCCTCCGCCTCCTCCCTCCTCTCCTCCTCCTCCTCCTCCTCCTCTCCTCTCCTCCTCCTCCTCCTCCTCCTCCTCCTCTTCCTCCTCGTTCCTCCTCGTTCCTTCGTTCATCCTCGTTCCTCCCGTTCCTCCTCGTTCCTCCTCGTTCCTTCCTCCTCGTTCTCCTCCTCCTCCTCCTCCTCCTCCTCCTCCTCCTCCTCCTCCAGGGATGAGCGTGTGTCAAAGGGTACTCCAGGTTTCGTGATAAAAGGGAGGGGGTCTGGACCCTCCAAGACAAGCCATTTCAGACCTCCCCCGTGGGAGAACCCTCCAAAACATCGTCCCCAGACCCCCCAGGCCCTCCAAGATAGCCTGGAAGAGACCCCCCCCGAAATGAGACCCCCCTCCCTTTATTACGAAATCTGGAGTACTCGAAGAGAGGCGCCTTGGCACCGCTCGGGCGTGTGCATTTTTCCTTCGGCGAGGACCATCGAGGAGCATCCTGGAACATTTGGCGAACAAAAAAAATACACGCACGAAACCGACAAACAAGTACAGGGAATGGACGTCCGAGGGATGGCCAGGGCGCACGCACCGGTCTTGGGCCCAGGGCTGTCCTGGCCGGGAGCGGCGTCCGTGCTCCGTTGGCGCGCGCCCTCCGGCAGGTGATGGTCCAGCAGCCGATGGGCCAGGGCGTTCCCGCGGCTGGCGCCGTGGTGCCCGGGCGGCTGTTCTTGACGAGGGTTCCCTTGGACGTCACCACGGCCGACCTCCAGGCGTATTTCGAGCAGTACGGCCAGCTGCAGGACGTGTTTATCCCCAACGGCGGCAAGGGCATCGCCTTCGTGAGCTTCGCCGACCACAACAAGGCGATGGAGGTGCTGCAGACGAGGCAACACATCGTCAAGGAGGGTCAGTCTGAACCGCTGAACGTCGAGCAGGCGCGGGGCCTCTTCTCCTTTCCTCCCTCCTTCCCCCCTCCCCCCCCCTCCTCCCTCCTTTTTTCCTGGTGCCAGTCACCCAGCCCCTTCCTCTTATGTCTCTGCCCCTTCGCCTCCTCTACCTCCTCCTCCTCCTCCTCCTCCTCCTCCTCCTCCTCCTCCTCCTCCTCCCCAGCGCGAGCTCGGATTGCATCCATTCGAAATGCATGGGCGCGAAATCACATTGCAGGTGTCAGTCACCCTGTCACCCTGTCCGTCCCACTTGTGGGTGTCAGAATCATGTTGCCGCTTCCCGCCGTGCTGCTCACCAGCGTCTTGTTGGTGACGGCCACTCAGCGACGTGGTGCAGCGCGACGTTGAGCAGTCCACAGCGTTGCTCTTCTCGCTGCTAGCAGCCGCGCGGACGACGACCCCATCAGCGACGTCATGGGCTTGGGCTCGTCGCGAGCGAGCACTCACACAATGGCGAGCGCACCAGTTGCCGAGACCGCTCGCGTCGTGGCCCCGACAAGAAGCACGGCCACGAGGAAGGGCGGAAGCGCGCTGCCAAGGAGGTGCCCATGGCAATACACTGCGCCTCCTGGATCATCTTCCCACGACTCCTGGGCTGCGTTGGCGGCTGCTACAGCGGGACTGCGAGACTGGGTCTGGCGCTTGCGCGCCCTGGACCCTCATGGGCTCCTGTCCCAGACACGCCGATCGCCTGTCAAATGACTCCACCGGCAGGCTTCCTGCTGCGTCAAGCCTGCCGGGCCCGTGGCTGGTTCTTCCCCCGCCGCGTCGCGGGACAGAGCTGCAGCAGCTCATGTTGGCGACGTGAATGATGTTCGCAGTCCGTGCTGACGCGCCTTCTGTCATCGCGCTGGCCAGACGTTGAATGGTCCAGATCGTCGGCATGCGCTCTGGGCCCGTCCACGCCCAGCCCGGAGCCAGTGAGCTCGACGACGCCCAGATCGAGAACAGGACGAGGATGTGCCGCCAGCTGTCGTCATGGACTGTCGGAGGTGGATAGACCTCCTGCCCTGACACGTCGATTGAGGAATTGGCCGGTATCAATTTGCGAGAGGGCGTCGCGGCAATCGTTTTTGCGGGCCCAGGTCCGTCGGTTGCGGTCCCAGGCCGTTTCCACTAGGGGGAGGTTTACTAAAGGGAGGTCTGTCCACCGCCGACGCTTTCCGGCCCAGACGCCGAGAAAAAGGACCGCCGTGGATGCGGTTCGGGGCCCCCTGCTCCTCCAGTCATCCCGTGGCTGCTCCTCTGGCCCTCCTCGTGCGCCCAGGCGCTCTTGGGGGGGCAGGGAGGGGGCTCCGTTCCGCAGTTTGGCGTTGCGTACAGTCGGGGCCCTGAAGAAGAAACCCTGTTCGTTGGGAAGGGGCTCCGTGTTCCTCAAGTGTCTCACGGCTTGCCTCAGGTTGTCCTCAGGCTGTCGATCGGAAGTCGAAGTCTAACTTATGGAAGAAAAAAGGGGCCTGGCTCCTTATTTAGGGTTCCTTAGGTCAACGCCCCGACTGTATCTCTCACCACCCACCAAACCACCCCAACCCAACCCGAAGGCTCAGATTTACCCTCGATTTCTAGTGGGGGGGGGTCCGGGAACGTCGAAAAAACACGTATGGAACCCTTACCCCCCCCAACCCGAAATTCGGGCCTTCGGGTTGGGTTGGGGTGGTCTGGTAGGTAGTCAATCTCGGCGGCCCCGACCGTCCACCGCCGAGACTGGGCCTCGCAGCGTGGCCGCGGGCCACGGCTGGCGCCCGCTGCCGCCCGCGCCCTCCCGCGCCCTCGGCGCGGCCCCGGGGGCGCACGCCGAGGCCGCCGAGGGGCCGCGCCCGGCGAGGGGGCGCCGCCGCTGCCAGCCTCGCCCCCGAGCACGAGGAGGAGGAGAGGGAGGAGGAGGAGGAGGAGGAGGCGGAGGAGGAGGAGGAGGAGGAGGAGGAGGAGGCGGAGGAGGAGGAGGAGGAGGCGGAGGAGGAGGAGGAGGAGGAGGGGGGAGGAGGAGGAGGAGGAGGAGGAGGAGGAGGAGGGGAGGAGAGGACAGGGGGAGGAGGAGGAGGAGGAGGAGGAGGAGAGAGCAGAGGAGGAGGAGGAGGAGGAGGAGGAGGAGGAGGAGGAGGAGCAGGAGGGCCGCACGCCGCGGCGGCGGTGGGTCGGGGCCCCACTGGGTCCCGGCCACGGGGCCCCGTCCCTTCCCCGCGCCCTCCCCCTCCCCTGCCCCGTTCACCTCTCCCTCCCTCCCTCCTCCTCCCCAGGCCCCCTCCACCTCCGCCCCCAGATCCTCGCTCCCCCCTCCCTCCCTCCCTCCCTCCCTTCCTCCCCCCCCCAGGCCCCTCCCCCCCTCCCCCCCATCCCCTCCCTCCCCCCCTCCCTCCCTCCCTCCCTCCTCGTCCCTCCTCCTCCATCCCTCCCTCCCTCTTCGTCCCTCCTCTCGTCCCTCCCCTCCCTCCCTCCCTCCCTCTTCGTCCCCCCCTCTCGCCGTCGCCGTCGCCGTCGCCGTCGAGCAGGCGCGGGACCGGCCGTCGCAGCCGGCCTTCGGGAAGGGCGGCTCGGGCGCCCCGAAAGGACGCCTTCGGGCACCCGTCGTCGAACACGTCGTCGTCGTCGTCGTCGTCGTCGCTGTAAGCGTCGTCGTCGTCGTCGTCGTCGTCCTCGTCCTCGTCCTCGTCCTCGTCCTCGTCCTTGTCGTCGTCATCGTCGTCGTCGTCCTCGTCCTCGTCGTCGTCGTCGTCGTCGTCGTTCTCGTCGTCGTCGTTCTCGTCCTCGTCGTCGTCGTTGTCGTCGTCCTCGTCCTCGTCCTTGTCCTTGTCGTCGTCGTCGTTCTCGTCGTCGTCGTCGTCGTTCTCGTCGTCGTCCTCGTCGCCGCCGCCGCCGCCGCCGACGTAGACGTCGTCGTCGTCGTCGTCGTCGTCGTCGTCGTCGTCGTCGTCGTCGTCGTTGCAGGACGCGACGAGGATTGGGAGGAGGACAGGCGGAGGGGACAGGGAGGGAGGGCGTAGGAGGAGGGGAAGGAGGAGGAGGAGGAGGAGGAGGAGGAGGAGGAGGAGGAGGAGGAGGAGGAGGAAAAGCAGGAGGAGGAAGAGGAGGAGGATGAGGATGAAACTCAATCTGCCCACCCCCTTCAAACGGTAGCAGGTTGAGCCTGGAAACGCGCTGGCCCGTACAATTTTCATGTCTTGTCGCGTATCAGGTCAGTGGGACCCTGGGAATACGGAGCACACCGCGAAACCATGGTGGGATAAGGCCACCCCTTTGTCGTGGCCGCTAAAAGGAGTTAAGTATGTTGCTTCCCTCATCAAGACTGAGGAGGCTGCTCTGGTGTAGCGCGGGTCCGCCTGTTTGTGCCTGAAGCGGCCCACCAGACGACGACCAATCTGCGGACGGCGAAGCGGCCCAGCGACTGTTCAGCGTAGACGGGCTGACTGCACAACTGGGCGGCTGGTCAGCAACGGCAGGCTGATTCACCACCAGGTCGAACTATAGGTCGGTGCTCAGACCTCGCCTGGTAGTAAGGGGTATGGACGGGGAGCTCTTCGTCTTGGCAGGGTGGCTGGAACGAGCTGAGGCGTTTGCCCCATGGCAGCTCGCTGCATTAGTCGGCATCGCAACGAGGCGCGCGGCAGACGACTACTTGCGATACGATGCCACTTGCGCACCTACTCTTCAGGGTCTTGACGCAGCACCCGGCCTGTGTCGCAGAAAACAGCGGTGGCAGCCATCCCCACCTCGCGCCTCCTGGTGGGAGAGCTGGCCGAGGGGGTGTGGCCAGAGGCCGCCTCGCCCGCTGCGCCCAGAGCAGCAGGCCGAGTCCTGGACGCCCCAGCCGACTGCCCATCTGACTGCACCCGCTCACCACGGGAGTTGCCGCCATCATCCCGTGCGGGCGCTCGACTCGTGAACGCTGCCTTCAGCAAGCCCGCGCCGCGCAGTCCCGCAACCAAGACAGGCCCCCGATCTTCAAGGGTGAGGACAATGGGTCTGTCCAGGTCCTCCTCATCGCGTGCGAAATGGTCTGTCCAGGTCGGTCTGCATCACGGGCAGCGATAGGGCAGCGAGAAAATACCCTTATCACGGGCAGCGATCGGGCCAATTTGCCTTCCTCCAACGACGGTGGGAGTCACCAGCGACCAGTCCGAACGGTGGTGGCAGCACTTGCAGAGCGCAGCGCAGCGAGGCGTTTGACTGCAACCTGGCCCCAGACGACGGAATGCAGGCATTGGACCCCCGGTCACGACAAGACAGATTCACAGCGCGCCTCCGACCTTTCAATCCGCACTCTGCGGCAGCCGAGCGGACGAGCCCAGGGAACCCGGAAAGGAGGTAACTCCGTACCGTATACATGGCTGCCCTCCCGCAAGGCGAACCTCGGGCGGAAAGAAGGTGCACCCGCGTCGTGCGGGAGCACCCAGAGCACGACGGTTGTTCTGGTTCCGACGACCAGGCCCCCCGTAGATTCGCAGCAGTTGTTTGGGGCCGCGTGCCCCCCCAGCGAAGCGGTCCCTGCGGCCCGCAGCCCGCAGCCGCGCCCGCTCGCCACGCCTGTGCGATGGTCGGCCATCTGGACCAGGAGCTCACCAGAGCAAGCTCGTCGCGGCGGCCCCCCGCTGCCCCGACCAGCCTGGCGACCCTGGCAGCCCGGGAGGTGCGCGCCTCCGAGGTCATATCGCCAAGGACGTGTTGCTGCCAGCGGCCCACGCGGCCCGTAGACGCCGCGCATTCCACCCTCGCGTCCCTTGGTGAGCAGAGCGCAGATCGGGCTCGCGATGCCCTGAACGGAACGGGGCGGGCGAAGGGGCAAGCGCTCAGCGGCCCTTCTTCAGCTGCCCCCTCCGTTTTTTTTCGGGGTGCAATCGCTATCTCAGCGGGGCAATCCGACGCGCTGATTGCAGTGATGCGGACGGAGGCTTTTACGTGCGTGCTGTTCATCCTAAGGCAGGAGGGCGTCACCTCACCTGGTGACACGGACTCAGTTGGATTTGCCGCCAGCGCGCATTCGCCTGGGGGCCATCGAGCAACCGTGGGGGCCCACCACTTAACCGCGGTAGGCAGACTTTGCACCACTCACAGTGCCATGGTGCAGATGGTGTCGCTACAGTTCAGCTTCCTTGCCAGACCTGGACGATTTATTGCTCCCGCTGGTCAACATGCACTGGGGTGCTCCAGCGGCAGACCAGAGGGACTTTCTGCATGTCGTGGCCCCTGGCTCAGCTAACTAACGCGCCGTCGTCTGCCCCGCTAGGGGCGTGGGCAAGACTGGGTGCCCGAAGGCACCGGACCACTCGGCATAGGCGCCCACCATGAAAACCATTGGAAGAAGCCCAGACTTCAACTGGGGAGACATCGAACCCCTGGTGCGCGTCGCTGTCAGGATACGCATCCACTAGGACAGCGGTAACCGGAACCACGGCAGAGGCCTGACCTCTCGCCTGCAAGTTCGCGCCCAGCAGCTACCAACTACCGGTGCGCTGACCAGCGTATGGAGACAGTACGTACCCCAGTCAGGAGGGGCAACCGCTGCCTGGTTTATGCGCTGTGCGCTCAGGCGGCAGTGGCTTGCGGAAACCGTGTTCGACTCGCCGCGTGTGGTATCATGCTGATCCGAAGACTGGAAGCCATGGTCGCCCCCATCATGCGGCACCTGCACGAAGCCGCCCCGCGGGCCCTGGCACAGAACAGCCAGCCCCTGGCCATCATGGTCAGGCGGCTGGCACTGGCGGGCCCGTGGGATAGTGTCGGGCTGGAGACCAAGAGGCCGTCGTCGTCGCGTTCGGCCGCAGCCCGAGGGGTCGGAACGCTGCAAGGCTTAGCTCGAGCGCGGCCAGCGAGGTGTCCTCCGCCAGAGTCACCAAGGAGGATGTAGGACTTGGCCTGCGGGCCGAGGCGGAGCAGCTGGTCGAGCCCCTTGGCGATGTGGAGCGAGTGGAAGCGGCTCCCCACGTCGCGCCGCGGGTGCCTCGCTGGCTGTCCGCGCCTGGCGACGAGGGCTGGAGCTTGTCTGCCGCCTTTTCCGTTCGCCCCCCTCGCCCCTTCCCCCTGTTCCTCCCGCGGAACAAAAAGCGCGAGGGCGGCCGCGGACACCCCGCCTCTCTCCGCCGCGGCCTCCGCGGCGGGCGCCCCGTGGGCGGGGCGCGTCGGGCGAGGCGGCGCCCGCGAGGGTCGAAGGGGTTGCTGCCTTCTCCTCGGCGGAAGGGCGGCGAAGGTAAAACGAGGGCGGCTCTGCCGGCAGGGGCGTGCGGAAGCTCGGCGGAGGGCGGCGGGGGTAAGATGCGCCCCCAGGAGGTGTATTTTTTTTTTTTTGGGGGGGGGGGTCGGGGCTTTCGACATCGGCGACGCGTTGGCCCCGTTTCCGCCTGCCCCTCTGGCCCCTGCAGGCGGAACCCGGTGCCGCCCGGGGACCCGGTGCCGCCGCTCTTCCCGGCTCCGTGCTGCCGGTCTCCAGAGGCGGTCCGGAGCTCCTCCCTGGTCCGAGCCGGCGCTCGCAGGCCCGGGCGGCGCGCCGTGGGGCCCGCGATGAGCGGCCGCGTTCCGTCGCCTCCCTTGCGGGGCCCCGCTGCCTCCCCAGCGCGGAGGGCCGCCGTGGCCTCGCCTGGGGGCGCGTCGGAGGCAATTCGCAAGATAGCCTGAGCAAACCGCCCCGCCGTCGTGGTCTCGGAGTGCGGCTTCGCGTCTCCGAGGTCGAGGGTTTCTGCGGGCGCCCCTGGCCCAGGGCGCCCCTGGGGCGCCTTGGGCCAGGGGCGGGCGCGGAACGGCGGCGCGGTCTCGGCAGCAGGCGCGCCGCCCCCCCTTCGGGCGTTCTGGGGCATCTCCAGCGGGGGGTGCGCGGCGCGGGCTCGGCTTGCTGAGGGGGGACAAGCCTTGGCCTTCGTCGGCGTTTCTGGGGCGCGGGGCGCCAGCTTGCCGCGCCTTTGGAGGAGGGGTGGCAGGAAGGGGGGGGGGGGGGGGGGCGGGGGGGGCAAGGGGGGGGGGGGGGGCAGGATGGGGGGGGGATGAGGGGGGCGGTGGCGGGCGGAGGAGCAAGAGGAGGCGGAGGAGGAGGGAGGGGGGGGGGGAGGGGGAGGAGGAGGATGGGAGGAGGAGGAGAAGGAGGGGGAGGAGGAGGGGGAGGAGGAGGTGGAGGTCCGCAGCCATTTTGGATCAAGCCACGGTGGCTCAAGTTCAAACCGTCGCCCCGTGGCTCGAGCCCATTCGAAGCCGAGGGGCCGGCTCGAAGGGCTCCAGGTGAATTCTCGATCAACGCTTCAGCCGTCAAGGCGCGGTGCGTTGCGCGCTGCTGCCGCGGGGGATTTCTACTGGGTAGGAAGCGAGCAATGTGTGCGAATTGTCTGCTGCCGAAGTCCGATGTTGGACGTCTCGCTCTGGCGGCGGAGCTGGGGGCCGCCCTGGCATTCCCGTCCCAGGGGGGCCCATCGCAAGCGGCTTCGTTCTGGCGCTGCTGCCGCTGAGGACGATGGATGCGTCTCCGCAGATGATGGTGCACCGATCTACCTCCAAGCCTACATCGATGCCACGATGGACAGCCTCATGGCCCCCACCAGCGCAGTGCAGACCCAGGTCCAGGCGAGCGTGGC